TGCGTTTTAAGTAGGTCTGTCAACGTTAACGCGTTAACACATGCGATTAATTTTATAATCCTTAACGCATTAAAATAATTTAAAGCAATTAACGCAAAATTACTGAAGCACAATTTCTGTTCTAACCCTTTAACCCAATTTTGCTACTCTGTTTGCGATCAGATCATTTGAAGCTGCTAAACTCCGGGCAAGTTTTCAGTCCAATGATCCAGTAAGCGAATGCATTCAAACAATCCGTCCAAAACAGTGCTAATATAAAGAAAATCAGGCTCATTACATCAGAGATTGCAGAGAGAACAGAGACTAGCGTTGCGTTTTAAGTGAATTATTAATTCCAGTGTTTCGCTTATTTCTCACCAGTCCGCTTTGTGGCGCATGACACAAGCTACCCCTCCTGCTGTATATGGTACTAATTCGCCATACCATGGTGTTCCCCCCTTATCTGTTCCATATGTAACGCGACAGCAGGCGGTTCTGTTCAGCACAGCAGATCCTGCATGTCAGGTTACCTCATCACTGCCACATATCGTTACATCAGTGAAGCTGCCTTTGACCACTACAACGTACAGACCCCTAGTGCCCCCTGTATATCAGTTACAGGCTCACGTGCCAAGCCAATCCACACGGCAGTCGTTTGCTGTGTCCGACCCGTATCGCCCTCCGCTACCGACCACTGGGTATCACCCTGCTCAGCCTCCCGTTCAGACTCCTGTGCAGCCCTGGTATCCCCCTTCAGTGGTTCACCAGCCACCACCTCCTCTTCCGGTTTACCAGCCTATGCCCGTTACACCCCCGCTACAACCAGTTCCTATTCCAGCCTTGCCTAAGCTCGTGAATGATAGTGAGAGGGAGTTCACAGACCTGAAGATGGCCTTGGATAATCTTCTCAATCCTCACACAGAGCTTACCGAGCACTATAAGTACAGGGTACTGATGGAGCAGTTGGTTCTGGAGGAAGCTAGGTTGATCGCCCAAGCATGCCGCCATCATCCTGCATCCTATACGGCAGCAATGATAGCGTTGCAACGACAGTATGGCCGGCCTCATCAACTGGCACAAAGTGAGATCGCAGCCCTGCTGAATTCACCTGATATTAGAGTTGGGGATGCAAAGGCCTTTCAGAGTTTTGCACTCAATGTTGACTTGCTAGTTGGTATGCTGATGTCACTCGAGGGTCCACAGGGGCGAGAGCTCTCTTGTACGGGGCATGTCGACAGACTACTCAGTAAATTGCCCAAACACTACCGAGACAGCTTTATAGAGCACTTACAGTTGCGAGGCCGATTGCACACTGACAGCCTCAACCCATATAACCGGCATGACCTTGCTGACTGGTTGAAGGTCAAGGCGGAAGCTCAACGTTTATCGTTCAAGATGGTGCAGCGCTACCAGACCGAGAAGGTACAGGTCACATGTAAGGATCGGCAATCTATTCCTAAGCCCCAGACTCGATCCACTGCAGTCTATCATGGCAGTGATCAGCCCATGGAAGCTAGCACAGGGCAGTCTGTCCGTACCGATGCTGCTCATGCTCAGTCATCAGCCAGGAGACTGAAGCGTTTGTGTCTGTTCTGTAAGAGTCAGGAGCATTACCTGTCGCAGTGTAGCAAAATTACTGAGTGCTCACCTGATCAGATTCTAAAGTGGATAAAGGATGGAAAAAGATGCTGGAAATGTGGGCGCACAAGTCATAAATGGGAGGAATGTACTTGAGGAAGCCTTGCAGGGACTGTGGTAATATACATCTCGGAGTCCTGGATTCTATTGCCCAGGATGGTCCTAACAGTGTGCTGCTGACAACATCTCACGAGCGAGCATATCTTACTTCTCCTAGTTTGACGGGTCGTGTGTACCTGAAAGTAGTTCCAGTGCTTCTGTGGAGAGGCAAGAGGTCGGTTTCGACCTACGCTATTCTGGACGATGGGGCTCAGCGGAGTATCATCCTTCCTGCAGCAGTCCAGCAGCTAGGCATTGAGGGAAGGGAAGAGATTATGGCCCTTCGCACCATCCGACATGACATCACAGAATTGAAGGGGCAGTCAATTGACCTGCTGCTTTCCTCGCAGTCAAGGCCAGAGGAGAAGCACAGCCTTAAGGGGGTCTTCACCGCGCCTCTCCTCACGCTAACCGAGCAAACCTACCCCGTCACGAGGCTCCAGCAATGTTATCACCATCTCAGAGGGATCCCCATTCCATCTTTCGATAGGGTCCAACCCCTAATTTTAATTGGGTCCGATTATCCGTCTCTGATTACCCCAAAGGAGCCCATCAGATTGGGACCAGCGGGCGGACCAGTCGCTGTACGCACGCAGCTCGGTTGGGTCCTCCAGGGACCAGATGGATTGCTCCCACATCAGGTACCTTCCCCGCAGTGTTTGTTCACTTCTCTTACACCACTGCGAGACCCTGTCTATCAACATGTCGAGCGACTCTGGCAGCTCGATGTCCTTCCATCTCGCAGCGAGAAAGTGATAACTCGGTCTAAACAGGATCAGATGGCTGCAGACATGTTGGAGATCAGGACGCGACGAGTAGAAGTTGACGGAGTCTGGCGCTACGCTACTCCACTCCTTTGTGCTCCAGACGCTCCACCGCTGAAAGGGACTACGGAATCCGTTCTGTCCAGCCTCACCAAGGTGTCTCTCTTAACCAGCAGTTGCTTCCAGGTCCTACCCTTGGTGCCTCACTACTAGGAGTCCTTCTCCGGTTCCGGCAGTACGCAGTCGCCATCAGTGGGAATATACGTGGCAGGTTCCACCAAGTGAGACTCCTACCCGAGGACAGACCCCTTCTGATGTTCATTTGGAGGAACATGCACTGAAGGAACCCGCCGGACGCCTACGAATGGCAAGTCTTGCCTTTTGGGACGACCTGCAGCCCCTGCTGCGCTACCTTTGCGCTGCAGATGCACATTCGCTGCCAGCAGTTCGGGAATGAGGAAGTGTTGCAGTCCATAGAGCGAAGCTGCCTACTGAGCCTTCCCACTGCTGAGGAAGCCAAGCGACTATTTGACAAGATGAGGCCTCTCTTAGCCTCTGGGGTCTTCGAGATCAGGCAGTGGGCAACGAATGTCCCCTCCGTTGTCCAGCACCTACCAACTAATGCTCGTTCAGAGAACATCGAACTGTGGTTACAGCAAAATCATTCAGACCCGCTGGAGCCGGCTCTTGGCTTAATGTGGCACTGCCTAGAAGACAGCCTAGGCTACAGGCATCGTGCACTAGCAGAGCATCACCCGACCATGAGGTATATCTATAAGGTCTTAGCAACGCAATATGACCCCTTAGGATTCTCCGTTCCCTTCACCACCCGAGCCAAGGTTCTTGTCCAGAAGCTCTGGACCAGACCGAGGGATTGGGACGATCCGAATCTTCCCGCAGACCTGCTGGAGAAGTGGAACGTGTGGGAGAAGGAGTTGCCTGATCTCTGTAGACTCAAGCTTCCTAGGTGCTATCTTCCTGCCGGCTTTGATGTGGAGAAATCAAGATTAAGCCTACACGTGTTTGGCGACGCATCCGAGGTTGCTTACGGATCGGTGGCTTATCTCCGTGCCGAGCAGCACGGTAAGATCCACACTGCCTTCATTATGGCTCGCTCGAGGGTAGCCCCCAAGCGGCAGCTGTCAATGCCACGCCTCGAGCTGTGTGCAGCACTGACTAGCGCTCAGCTTGCACAGTTCCTCAGACAGGAGCTGACCATTGCCATAGAGACAGTGACATTATGGACAGACTCGACTACAGTGCTCACCTGGATCCAGTCTGAGTCCTGTAGGTACAAGGTGTTCGTCGGGACGAGGGTGGCGGAAATACAAGAGTTGACTGAGCTCCACTCTTGGCGGTACGTTGATTCCTCGAATAACCCGGCGGACGACATTACCAGAGGGAGGACGCTCATTGAGCTGGCGAACTCTGACATGTGGAGTCGAGGCCCAGGATTCCTCTGCGAACCACCAGACCGATGGCCAGCCAAGCCCCTTGTAGAGGCCCGAGAGGATACCTCAGAGACCAGGAAAGCCGTCTTCTGTGGATTAGTTGCAGACCATCAAAATCCAGACATGCTTGATGCATCTCAGTATGCTTCTTGGAGTGCCTTGGTCGACGCGACCTACCGGTCCCTCCATGGGGCGGCCGCCCAAGATACGAGTAAAGCATCTTTAAATTACAGGCGTGCGGAAACGCTCATCTTGAGTCAATGTCAGGAGGATTCCTTCCCAGAGGATTTCAAGGCTTTAAAATCAGGGAACCAGGTGCCCGCAGCACCATGAGGTATATCTATAAGGTCTTAGCAACGCAATATGACCCCTTAGGATTCTCCGTTCCCTTCACCACCCGAGCCAAGGTTCTTGTCCAGAAGCTCTGGACCAGACCGAGGGATGGGGACGATCCGAATCTTCCTGCAGACCTGCTGGAGAAGTGGAATGTGTGGGAGAAGGAGTTGCCTGATCTCTGTAGGCTCAAGCTTCCTAGGTGTTATCTTCCTGCCGACTTTGATGTGGAGAAATCAAGATTAAGCCTACAAGTGTTTGGCGACACATCTGAGGTTGCTTACAGATCGGTGGCTTATCTCCGTGCCGAGCAGCACGGTAAGATCCACACTGCCTTCGTTATGGCTCGCTCTAGGGTAGCCCCCAAGCGGCAGCTGTCAATGCCATGCCTTGAGCTGTGTGCAGCAATGACTAGCGCTCAGCTTGCACAGTTCCTCAGACAGGAGCTGACCATTGCCATAGAGACAGTGACATTATGGACAGACTCGACTACAGTGCTCACCTGGATCCAGTCTGAGTCCTGTAGGTACAAGGTGTTCGTCGGGACGAGGGTGGCGGAAATACAAGAGTTGACTGAGCTCCACTCTTGGCGGTACGTTGATTCCTCGAATAACCCGGCGGACGACATTACCAGAGGGAGGACGCTCATTGAGCTGGCGAACTCTGACATGTGGAGTCGAGGCCCAGGATTCCTCTGCGAACCACCAGACCGATGGCCAGCCAAGCCCCTTGTAGAGGCCCGAGAGGATACCTCAGAGACCAGGAAAGCCGTCTTCTGTGGATTAGTTGCAGACCATCAAAATCCAGACATGCTTGATGCATCTCATTATGCTTCTTGGAGTGCCTTGGTCGACGCGACCTACCGGTCCCTCCATGGGGCGGCCGCCCAAGATACGAGTACAGCATCCTTAGATTACAGGCGTGCAGAAGCGCTCATCTTGAGTCAATGTCAGGAGGATTCCTTCCCAGAGGAGTTCAAGGCATTAAAATCAGGGAACCAGGTGCCCGCAGCCAGCCGTCTGAACACGCTTGCACCCGAGTTCGACCCAGAGTTAAGTCTAATTCGTGTGGGAGGTAGGCTACGGCGATTGGATGGCTTCAGTAAAGCTGAAATACATCCAGTGGTTCTAGATCCCCACCATCAGGTGACTAGACTCATCGTAAAGCACTTTGACGAGCGTCTACTCCATTCAGGACCTGATAGGGTCTTCGCAGAGCTACGTCATCAGTTCTGGATTCTAAGGGGCAGGCAAGCCATCAAACGACACCAGAGAGAGTGCGTAGAGTGCCAGAAGTGGAGAGCTAAGCAGACTCTACCTATTATGGCTGACTTACCATCAGCTAGTCTGCGATTATACCAACCCCCCTTCTTCTCCACTGGAGTCGACCAGAGCTACGTCGCCAGTTCTGGATTCTAAGGGGCAGGCAAGCCATCAAACGACACCAGAGAGAGTGCGTAGAGTGTCAGAAGTGGAGAGCTAAGCCGACTCTACCTATTATGGCTGACTTACCATCAGCTCGTCTGCGATTATACCAACCTCCCTTCTTCTCCACTGGAGTCGACTGCTTCGGCCCTTCGTGGTCAAGATTGGCCGTCGCACAGAGAAGCGATGGGGCGTCATCTTCAAGTGCCTGACGACCAGATGCATTCACCTTGACCTACTCAACAGCATCGACACTGATGCATTCTTACTGGCATTAAGGCGCTTCATAGCACGTAGAGGAACCCAGTCCGAGATCCTCTCAGATCAGGGAACTAACTTTCGGGGAGCCGAGACCGAACTGAGAGAAGCTTTCAAGGAGATGGAGCCCAGACTGCAGGAGCAGCTGGCTAGCTAACAGATCACTTTTAGGATGAATCCTCCCGCCGCACCCCACTTTGGAGGCGTATGGGAAAGGGAGATCCGATCGATAAAGTCTGCACTACGAGTAGTCATCGGGAGCCAGTCTGTGCCTGAGGATGTCCTGCAGACTGTACTGATTGAAGTTGAGGGTATCCTGAACAGCAAGCCCTTAGGATACGTCTCATCAGACGTGGCAGACTTGGATCCGGTTACCCCCAATACACTTCTCATGGGGCGGCGAGACGCCTCACTTCCCCAGGTGATTTACACCCCTGAGCCCTTGTCCAAGCGTCGTTGGCGTCATTCCCAGACTATCGTTGATCACTTCTGGTCTTACTTCACACGACATTACCTCCCGGGTCTCCAGACTCGCCAGAAGTGGCAGCGGGTAACTCAAGATCTAGCTGAGAACAGGGTGGTCATGATAATCAACCCGCAAGCTTCCCAGAGCCCAATGGTCAGTTGGTCGGGTTGTCAAACTGATACCCAGTGCTGATGGACACATCAGGTCAGCTCAAGTACAGGTCAATGATCGCCTATACCTACGACCTGTGGCCAAACTTGTCAGACTTCCCGCACTTCCGGATGGAGGTGAAACGGACTCTAACGACTAGGGAATTTATCTTTAGACATATTAGCTATGCTAATCTGGGGGCGGCTGTTCTAAATTCCCTATGTATGTTTATAGGGGAAGGACTTTTATTATGAATGTGTGCCGCTAGTTGACGTGAGTTTCCGCTATTACGATTTACTTTCACTTTCACTAGCCGCTTGATCCGCCATTTCTTCAGGTGTTAATGTGCGTGATTGAATAAAGACCACATTTAACACTTTGTGGCCTTAAGTTGTACAATATCCAATCCAATTGGAGCAATGTTGTGCCATCTGCTGTGAACAGTTAAATACTTCAGATAAAGAGTTGAACAGTGCCCTGTCTCCTGTCGCACTTCTTACCCGAGTCCCGTGGTGGATTAGCATCAACACCCCTACCGATCTATTAGTCCCGTTCAAATGGTCTATGCTTAATTTCATGAAGTGTGCGATTAATCGTGATTAATCACAGAAAAAAGATGTGATTAATTAGATTAAAAATTGTAATCGATTGACAGCCCTAATATATATATTGAATGGCATAGTGTATAATGTTACAAAAATTTTATTTCAGATAAATGCTGATCTTTGGATCTTTCTATTCATCAAAGAATCTTGAAAAAATTGTACTCAACTGTTTTAAATATTGACAATAATAATAAAAAATGTTTCTTGAACAGCAAATCAGCATATTATAATGATTTATGAAGGATAATGTGACACTAAACAGTAAACACTAGTAATGATGCTGAAAATTTAGCTTTGATTACAGGAATAAATTACATTTTAAATATTCAAATAGAAAGCAGTTATTTTAAATAGTAAAAAATATTTCAAAATATTACTGCTTTTGCTGTATTTTGGATCAAATAAATGCAGGCTTGGTGAGCAGAAGAGACTTTCTTTAAAAAAACATTAAAAATCGTACTGTTCAGAAATTTTTGACTGGTAGTGTAGAAATTATAATAATTACTGTAAAAGTATTTTGTCATTATTATTTCATGATAGCGATTGCATTAACTGATCAATTAATTTATGGAAACTTATAAAAGTATACAATTTTTGTCAGAGTAGAACCACAAAGTCTTAATATGATTGATGTTTGATGTTTTCCCTCAATTCAAAACAGATTAATAAATAGGAACCTGCTACATGCACCACCTGTATGTACAAACACTCACTTCTTTGGTTGTGAAAATCCTTTCTCAAAGGCCTGCTGTGAGAACCCTCCCTTCTCCACAGAGTTGCCACGGCGACAGCTCTGTCCTGTCACCGAGGGGGAGGAGGAGTCTGGCTGGTCTGATTCACATACCACCTGAAAGCCGAGATAGAAGAGGAAATCACATGACCCCAGCTGAACAATGATGTTAATGCACTACCAGAGGAAATTAATATACGCCAGGACTAAATGAGCCACAAGGGGCTGTGCAGCTGCAAATCACAGTGAATACTCACTGCAGGGCATGGGTTACTGGTATCATGAGGACTACACTGGTTATTCACTGGAGAATTCCTCTTTGCTGTGGAGAACATAACAGAGATAGCAGATGTGTGAAGCATGAACGATGTACACACATAAAGAACAATGAGCAAAGGTAGAATTGTATTTTGGGTTTAACGCTGGTAAAACACAGCAAAAATTAAATTGTCGTTGAGGACAGAAGTGATAGAAGAACCGTAAAAAAATTACAGAAATCTGACCTGTAACAATGTTACGCATGGGTTTGACAAGGGCAGAAAAAGCAGGAACATCAGGTTGACGGTGCTCCCACATTGGCTGCCAAATAACAAGTCCACCAGCCAGTCGAAAGGTGAGGTCAGACTCCTGCCAAATGCAAAATGATCCAGTTTAAGCTAAATTAATAAATCATTATTTGCAAAAATAAAAAAGTACATTCACAGCCATACAATTAAGGATTTTAACCGATAAAGTGGGGCTCAACAATAACATTTTCCTTGCTTTGTCATAAAAAAAATTCATCTGCCCCACCACAAAAAATGATCAGTTTATATTTTTATATTTGCTAGAAATATTTATTTTTCAGTGAATGTTAAGGTAACATTTTTCATCTTTAAAAGACTGAAATGATTAAATAATTATAATTAAATAATATAATGATTATATTACACTATAATAATTAGAATATGTTTTATTTTAATTTATATAAAAAAATAAAATTTACAACAAGCTGGAAATTATACAGCTGTAATGAAACTCACTTCTGCTAATCTCATCTATATTTGCCACCTAGATAACATTATCTTGTGACAAATCAGAAGAATTTACAGCAACAACGTAGAACAGATCATGGAAAACTAAGGCATTAAAATGAATGCACAATATTAATGATGTAATATTTTCAGTGGCAATGCAGCCACTTCCATTAACTCTTTCACACTGGCCTTGGGCCAGCAGGACATCCGTATTGTTGAGCCCTGCAGAGAAAAAAAAATAAAAATATCAACAGTAAAAGTTCCAACCTTGATCCGGTTAATGAGGGGGGCAAAGAGAAACACAAAGAGCTCCACAGTGGCCATGTTCTTATGGTAGAGTTTGGCACGGGCATATTCATTCTCTTCAGTTGTGCTGCCATTGTGGTCTGTGAGACCCTGGTTCCCTATGGGCTGAAGGTAGGCACTACTGCTACCACTGCTGCCCCCAGACCAGCCGTGTCCCAGGCCAGGCTCCTGGTGGCACTCCTGGGCCGCCTCCAGAAGCATCCAATGTAGAGTGTGAAGGAGTTTCGTTTCAGCTACCCCGAGTTTATCCTGGTGTCCTGGTGAAGAGAGATTGCGGACATGCTGATCAATAAAATTAACCACAGAATGAACTCACCCAAACACACAGTGCACAAAGGACATAGAAATTGTAGTTTAATAAGGGTTCCTACCCAGCTTGTTGCGGTTTGAGAGAAGGATGGCAGTGCAGTGGAGAACATGAGGCAGAGCAGCCTGGACCAGCTCCCAGCGAGAGATGCTCTGGATGGCTTCAGTGAGGGCTGGAGAGAGCCCGTGGAGTTTGTTCTCCACCAGCACCCGCTCAAATGACTATAGGCAGGATAAAAGCGTGAGACATAATCCTCAAGAGCACTTATTAAATGTTTGCTTCTTCCTGTTACAGTATTATTTGTACACAAGAAAGAAAACATGATATAACAGCAAGACTGTCAGTCATATGGCATACTAATACTAATCCCAATAATAATAATAATTATTATTATTATTAACAGAACTGTATGCAAAAAACTCTGTCAATAGAACAAAATATTCACAGTTAAATTCATGATTTCCAGTCTTGAAAGACAGGGTTGCAGAATGCTTAATAAAAAACAAATGCATAGTTCATTACTTTAACCTCAGTTTGAAAAAACAAAAACACTTAAGGAGGATACACACTGTAATTTATTTATTTTAACAGTAAACTACTGTAAGAGTGCTCAAGTAAAAACCTGCTAATTGATTAATGGTATAGGTTTTCTTATTATGGTGAAAAACCGTAAATAAATGTAACAGTATATTACTTTTTAAATGTTCTGTTAGATTTATTTACGGTTTTTCACCATAATAAGGGAACCTATACCATTAATAGGTTCCCTATTATGAACAAGTGAACAGGTTATAAAATGAACAAGTCATTTTATAAATTACAGTGAAAAATTGTAAACTGAAATTCCCAGAATTCCCTGTATGACATTTGTTTGAAATAATTCTGTTTCTTCTTAGTTCTTTCTTACCAGTTATGGACCTTAAGGTTTATGTCAAATCTTATGTTGTTAAATTATTGTTTATTGAAATATGTTAGTGTCATGAGTCACACATGATGTGTGTAACCATTATGCCATTTTGTATTTGTGTGCATGCAGTATATACAGTATTACTGTACATATGTAAATTAGCTTTGATTATATATATATGTATATATATATATATATGTGTGTGTGTGTGTGGCTTTCTCTTTCACTTGTGTTTACTAGTGGTTGTCAGTATAATTTCTTTGTGGTATTTCAGTAGGTTATATTAAGGTTAAATCAGTTAATCAAATATGTATATGAACCTCTGATTTAGGCTTAACATTTTTTGAGATAGAGGAAAGATTATTCACAGGTGAAGGTGTTCACTTATGATTATTAATACACTCACCACACAGGAGGCTTCATACTGCTTCCCTAACTTCGGCCGCAAAAACGCACTGTAACAGATACATTTTTTAATTTAGTTTCATATCATATCATAAAACTATATAAAATAACAGCCATAATCGAGCCGGCAAGGACACTCTGTGCCACAGCATGATTTTAACTGAAACTGAATTATGACGAGCTCTGATAAGGCACTGACAGCACGATTGCTCTACGAAGATGAAATATTCGATAGAACATTCTGCAAATTTTGTTCAGGGTTTCATTCTAAGACACACAAGGTGCGGCGGTGTGTGAAAAGATGACGCACGAGACACTCAGCGCAACAGAAATCCATTCAGAGACCGGTATGAGAGATGCATACGAATGAGAACCGCTCTGCGGGAGCCATATACGAGGAAATCAGACTAATCACTCCCAGAAAACACCTGTTATGCCACGACTAAATCACTGACCTGGTCTGTCTCCATAGGAAGGTTTGGATCGGAAACGGGATACCCCGGCAGTTTTCCCGGTCACTGTCATCCAAGCTCTTTCTTTTCACCATTTTTGACCTGCTGGATTCAAGGGCGCAGACGGGCTGCTCAGAGATGGATTTGATTCACGACATCGGAGCGTAAAATGGCTGCAGGTGTTGACTTGTGTCGACACGACCCCGTGGAGCAGCGCTTAACGACCGAATCCACTTGTCAATTAAGACACGCTGACCACCGGGTTGAAGATACGGCTTCAAATACGTAATCAATGAGATGGAGCGACGGACCCCCTCTGGGTCTTAAAGGGGTCATATGATGCGATTTCAAGTTAAGCGTTTAAGAGAGGCGGGGCATATAGGACCTACAATAATGTACAGTATTTGAAAAATAATGTGTTTTTTGAACATTAAAGCATGTCAACATATTCTGTTACACCAAATGCACAAAATAATGATCTTTAAAAAAGCATCATATGACCCCTTTAAAAGCTCGAGATTCGCAAATATTTCAGTGTAACAATTAATACTGCATTATTAGTACCCAAATCGACAATTCTGCCAAAATATCACAGCTACTACAATCACTGTTACAGTAATAATAAATAAATAAATAAAAATAAGACAATAGGCCTATATGAGAACCATGTAAGAAGTTTTCAGAATCCCAGTCCTTTCTTTCTTTCTTTCTTTCTTTCTTTCTTTCACGGTGTTGGATAACATAAAATTGGCAAAGTTCAGTGTAATAATATCTGTAGCAATTAAACATTTTAATGTAAACTATGGCTACCATATAATAGCCTATATATGGCATTTAATTCATTTATGCAAGAAAAAAAAGTGTAATAAAAAACTCAACTGTATTGTAAGTACATGGTACTGATAAATGTAAGGTAAAATGTGGTAACCTTTTATTTTAAGGTGTCCTTGTTACACGTTACATGTACTTACTATTATAATAACAATAAATTATGCATAACTACATGCAAGTAACCCTAAGCCAAACCCTAATCCTAACCCTGACCATATAGTAAGTATATGTTGTTAAATAATATTACTCCGAACTTAAATGTATAATTAACACTGTAACAAGGACCCCTTAAAATAAAGTGTAACCTAAAATGTGATCCTTTCATATAACAAAAAATGGATTTAAACTCTCTTCTGGTGCTTATGGCACCAGTAGATAGCCTATACATGTTCATAAACTGCAGTTCATAAGACTTAACCAATAACACCTTAATCCCGCTTTAATAACACATCAGACAAGAATAAAAGTTAGTGTTCTAAAAGCATAAACAAATGTGATATATTCAGTTTCATCAATCTGATTACGAAAAAATGGGGTATTATTCGGTTTCCCACATACACGTCTTGACAAGATAGAATAGTTATGGTCCTATTAATTCTGATTTTCCATGTGAATTTCAGGCCAATTGAGTGGAATAATTCAACCTAAATGCATAGTCTATTCCTAACAAAACCAAATAAAACATACATAATTTTTAGAATTATATAGCATAATTCACATGCATCTCTTTTATTGTGATTTTTGTGTTTTTTTGTCTGCCTGCCCCATTATGTTAAAGTATTGTCACAATGCATAACTTTGCACAACATTTGATCTAGTATTTCACATTGACACATTAAACAAAAAAAATACATTTAAAAAAATGATGTCAGATGTGCTTTATGCAGCAACATCAAATGCTTTAGATGACAGGGGACTTGCTCCAGGTAGGGGAGTCTAAACAACAAATGTCCAAAACACAATGATGAATAATTTCCAAAACACTTTATTATCTTTTTTCTCTCTATAACCATACATATCAAATGACGATCATATGAATGCAGTGGAATGAATATGTACCGAACCCATCAAATGGTAGCAGCAAGTCATTTACCTTTAAGGAACTGAAAAAAAATATTTGTGTAAGCTTTTAGTTGTTTTGTGGCATTTAAACAAACAAGGGAAACAAAAATCATATAAGATTAATTTAGTGAGTCAAATGTTTATTAATCTCTATATTTTAAAATGTAAGGGTGTTTAAGTTGGCAAATTACAACTTAATTCTACAAATTCTAGTAAAGTTATAAAAAAACTGAACGGATAATAACTTTTTTTAATTGAAGTGGTTCAATAAAATCTAGTCATTCAGGCTACTACTGGAATCATGAAAAATGACTTGGGTTATTACTCCTTATATGGCTGAAATAAACAAACCAAAAGAAAAAAAAAACCCGCACACACATTTGAAGTCTCTTAAATCAGCCATCCTCCCTGAGCAGTCTCTCACAAACATAAATACACAATCTCCGAGCCACATTCACATGCTAAGGACTGTAAAATATAGGGATCTGTGTGACCAGGACACCACAGTAAAAGAACCTTAGGTCATCTGAGATTCAGCAAGAATAAATATGTCCAAAAATCTTTGCCAACCCCATGTGAGGTTGTTTTTTATGATAGCATTTTATGATCAGACCAACATGGTCTTATGTGCTGTCTGACACTGGACGCTTGTGAGATCTGAACGCAGTGACTGGCTTGGCCTTCATATTAGGACATACTTAGGTCTCATGTACGTCTTGTCTTTGGCCTTTTTGATTGGCGTTTGGCTTCATCCACCGGCAGCCCATCCCCACTTGCCTGAGCGAGTCCTTGAACTCCCTGGATCTGGCTGACCAGCTGCAGAAGAAGTGGGATCACCTGGGAACAACACAATATCATTATCTACATAATGTCATATGAACAGCAGCTATTGTAACTGTCAAGAATGTCAAGTTTTTTTTTTTAAAGATTCTGAAAGAAAAAGAAACTGGTACCCGCTCATGATTATAGACAGCAAGCAACAGCAGTAATGTGAGAGGAAGGGCGATGAAAGATCCCTGGGCAACATCTTGATCTGGTATTTTCCTCTGTGGAAAGCCAAACAAATTCAATCTAAGAGCTTGGGCTTTAAAAGACAATAAGTAATAATCGGTAATATTTTTAATGTATTCAACTACACTGACACTATCGACTAGGGATGTTCATTTCGGTTATTTTTCCTAACCGACGCTCGTTAACCGATTGTTAACCGTTAACCGAAAATATTATTTTAAATTAGAATTGAATTAAATTAGAAAGGATAAGTGTGTGACCTGTTAAAAAATACTATGTACTAAAAAAATACTATAATAATAAATGTTTCCCGGGAATTAATTTTACATGCGCAAAAAGCAGCAAACAACAGAACATGAGGATTCACATGGTCATCATATCACATCACACACCTGCAGCGCTTTTGCGAGCGGAGAAAAACATAAAGCTAGGCTATATATATGTATATATATATATATATATAACGAATAAATAGGTCTATACACTTACACTTTTACACTATACAGTTTTTACTTAAATAATAAATTAAGAAAATGAATCGGTTCATTTTTGTGCTGTTTTACAAAAGCACAAAGATTTGTTTTTATTGTGAATGTACACAAATAAAGGCAAACCTTTTACAATTCTGATTATCTTTAGGACTAAAAGGAGTAGTTCCTTCCACTGTTAGAATTGGAAAAAATTCAAGTGATTGTGCCAGTGCCGCATGCATGCACACAGTTAAGCATTGCTACCTTGACAATGCAGCCTGTTCATTATCATAATAAAATACAGTCAGTCAAAAATATGGGGAAAAAAATGTAGTAAAATCTGTGCCATTAAGTGTTATCACAGTACCGCCGTGATGTTATGCAAAACATTTTGTTTTACGTGGATATTGGAACTCGAGTGAAGTACATAATAAATAATAATTTGCCATTCAAATACATCGCGAATATGGAAACATTTGATTTTGTGTGGAATGAGAGACCCAACGTTGGTTTCAGTTTCGTTTTATCCTAAATTCATTCGTTTTGGCTTGTCGTTTACATTGCTATAGCTTCTTATATTTTTAATTCTTGTTCTTTTCTAAATACTGTTAATTGAAAGGATTTGTTTGCAGTGTTTATTATAATGTTTGTAAACATTTCGCATCAGCATTAGGCCTATTTCTGAATGAAATAATAAAATGCGACTTATACGCGACTTATGTTTTTTTCCCCCTAAAAAACATTTTTTATACGCGTAGCGTATTTTAACCATGCAGCAAACCTTTTTAAATATTTTGATAAATTACTGAAAAAATAAATCATTAAATTACTTTTTAAACCGTTTAACTGATTCGGTCAAAATTCTTACGGTTAATTCTTACGGTTGGTTAACCGGTTAAACGGTTAAAATGAACATCCCTACTATCGACAAGTTTTGAACTAAATTGAACTGGATAATGATACTGTTGCTTTCTGTAGAGCTGCTTTAGAGCTGAATTGAACTTGTTTAATAATTGATGAACTTGGCACCACTGACACAGTTGTTGAAATGAATCGACACTGAACCGACTTGAGCTGAATAATGACACCATTGTCTTTGGTGTTGTCTGATATGCTTACAGGTGTTAATTGATGAATTCTGCAACATTAACACTGCACACATGCGGTCACAATCTGTATTGTAGGAAGTGCTATATAAATACATGTGACGACTTGAGAATATCATAACTTCGTCATAACATTTCATAAAAGTCACACTAACGGACAGCTTTTTGAATGCAGAATTTAGATCCTTTTTACACCAAATGACAAGCTAATCGCAGATAAAAGATCTATTCACACAAAAATTTGTCCATTGGACAACGAAAAAAAAAAAATGTTTTGTGCGACAAGGTTTTTACCTTGGGGTTAAAGGTTAGTGTTACATGTTTGTGGTAACCAGAAGATGTGAACGAGACTTGTGGGAGTTTGTAGTCATACTGGGAGTGAGAGAGTGATGTGTCTAGCATCAACACATAGCTCTGCAAGAAGACAATAAAATGAAAATAATAAATAAAATGTCTCACCACCCATTTTTAAGATGTACTTAAAAATCAAAGTACGGGCAGATTAATATGAATATTGTAAAACATAATAAAAATAGGACTCGCTTAGAGGAATAAAAGTACCTCTCCATCACGTGGCAGGGGGGCAAAGTGGAAGAACAGGGACTGGCCAAGAGACACACTCTGGAAGGGATTGTCAGGGTTGTCACTCTTATAGAGCTTCACCTTTAGAGATGGAGGAACAACAATGACTTCAAGATTTGATAAAATAAGAGAAACCATTTTAAAACAGTATTTAAATGACTGCAACTACCCA